TATATATATATATATATATCACGACCGTGATGCAAAATATGCTTTATGAAACTCACTTGATGCGCTCTTTTGCGATATCGCGCTCACTGATTAAGGTCTGTTGTTCTCGTTCCCACGTTTGACGCATCAGTTCAACTTGTTTCTCCAGTTTATCCAAAAGGCTGGTACGGTCACACCAACGCTGGTTAAGTGATCTGAAGTTAAGCGTTATGACGATGAATATGTAATTCCGGGTTGATGAGACATTAAAACCGTTCACAATTAAATTCAATTTTTTAGATGATATTGTGAATCCCAAGTAAACTTCGTTTGGGGAAAGACCAATAAAAGTAAAGCCACTGTAAAGTCCATTGTCGCTGCAGTTCAACTCAAAGTTGTTAGAAGGAATATTCACGTAGTATTTGCAAAAGCCGGAGTTATGAAGATCCCAGATGTTTAGCCTCCGTTAGACGAGTGTGTGAATTAAATAATCCAGAAATCTCGAACTTGAGGTTGAACGTAATAAAAGCTTCCAGCCGAAGCTCCGAATTATCCTTCTTTTATTCGATTGCTAAGCAGCTAGCTCACAAGAAAAAAAAACGATGTGCTCTCTTGATGTAACTCTGAGGTTGCTGTGTGTGAGAGCCTTCATAGTGATGCACTGATTGTGAGGATTGATTCCAAAAATCCAAAACAACAATGCTAATGTGGAAGTACGGGTACAAACACGTCATTCTGGTAATGTGCCGGGATATTGCTGTGTCAGCTCATTCAAGGCCCTAATGATGAACAGAGGAAAGTGTAGCAAAGGGATGGGTCCCAGCGCCAGTCTTCTACAAACGCCCTAATGCCTGGTCATTCTGGATAGTAGGTGACAGCATGAAGCGGTGTTCAAGTTCAAACTGATGACCTTAGCTTCATGCGCAGTGATGACTCAAATTGAACTGAGATTTTGTGATACGGAAGACAAGCCTTTCCTGACTTATGAACGAGCTAATCAACCTCTGAACTACTAACTGACCACTGCACTTCCTAAAACACATGGGCTTAGGCTAGGAACATTTTCCCGTATATCCAAACGAGACTTGCGCGCGCACATCAGACGCCGATGCGACTGTCTTTGTGTTTACGAAATAGAGACCATGTGCAGGTAGTTTCATAGCTCTTACATGAGGCAATGTTAGTGAATTCGGATCGGAGTTGCAAAAGCAAAGGAGGGAAATCTGTGCGGAGGCAATAATGCTGTTGCGAGATGTGCGGGTCACCTAGACTAGTCTTGCGTTCCGGACTGGGATCTCCACGACGCGCTTTAAGTTGCCAAGTTTTATCCATTTGCTTTGTCCGTCCCACTCCCTCCGTTCATAGCAAAAATTGTTTCGCAATAGGGAACACAATCGATTTCGTAATATCTTGTCAGGTCAAAGGTTGGCTACCTCTGCTTCAGCCATTATGAATTGGGCACGGAAAACAGCACTCCTCGGTAGACGATTTTCGGCATTCACAATACATGACCTAACCAACACAGCTTCTAGTTCTGTATGCATTTTTTGATTGACGTCCCTGTTGCACAACTGAACACTCGTTTTCTACTGTGGCAGCTAGAACCACTGTACCGCATGTACGCGCTGCTACATCAAATCGATTTTATTGGGGGAACGAGGGACTAACAACCTGCGACGTATTAAGAGGGGTGCAGGAAGCCAGACAGATTAAAAACTATAGCTCTTGTAGGTTATTACCAACCACTCTAGTGCGAACCTTCTCGTGGTCGCACCTACATTCGCTTGTTAACGTTTCACTTCAGTGAACGATGCATGACAAATGCGTTACCGTTTTACACGGTCCTCGTACGGAATATCCCACATCGATTGGTTCTGCCAAAAAGTATATGGCCCTTAAATGCAATAGGACCTAATGTGACGGGTGGTCCACTCATGCACTGCTCGGACGCGAAAGTTCAGCTCACCTGTTTGAAAGTAAAACGTTGGAAAGTCGTGGGAACATTTTCCACCGAATGGCAATGAAGCCAGCGAATTCCTACACAAACCTGACTATTAGCGTACGGTAAATTAGGCTTCGCTTTGAACAACCAGGGTTGAAATTATACGGCTGCTTGGAAATTACTATGGTGTGACGGTTTGCATACCTGTATGCCCATTGAGCTACAGTAGGACGGTTCGCCTTGACACTCAGTTCCTTACGCTGGGTTGATCAGTCTGATGAACGCAAACCCCTGGTCCTCGACATTGAGAATGAAACCACCTACGGCGACTTTTACTGCTGCAGTAGTAAGGCGGTACCTGCCCACTCCATTACGGTCAGGTTTTTGAGCCAAAGTCTGGTTATGAGCGCTAATTGTCCCTCTATGGAGCTTCTGGCGCTCTGATATTACTCGAGCTCGCGTTTAAAATGCCTCACATCATTCAGTAAAACGAGTAGGTGTAAGAATGCTGCTGATTGCGCCTCCCTACGCTTTCACGTGTTCTCTTTCAGCCCGACCCACTGCAAATACCTTCCGGGTTTCAACACTAGACGTGATCACTTTCGGTTTCTCTTCAAGTTCAATGGTAACAATCCGGAAATCCAATCAGCCTAGTGACCTGTGGTGTTCGCAAACTAAAGCAACCGGTTGTTTTTACACTGGATTCCATCTGCATTGATGTACACTGTCTGTCATAAACAAGAGTCCAGTATAAAAGTAACGCAGTTGATATTAGGCTGAGCCTCTTCATCGATGAAATATTGAGGCGAACGCTGGAGGACCTTCGAAATTCCGATGTTCGCGTGCCTGCTGATAGGAACCCAGTCCCGATCACGAAAGGCGAACATAAAATACAGGCTATAGCAGGTCGTTTAGTCACCATCTTGCCCTCTTTCGGCATGTACAATGAACCTAAAAAGTTCAAAACCATGATTCGCAATGTCCAGCTCCTGATCGTTTCCATCGACTTGTGGGGATTTTTAGACACCTCGGTAGTTGCATTAGTTCTAGTGGAAGAGTTCGATGAAGGCATCGCGCAAATGTCACAAATGTGAACTTTGTCAATTTTTGTCACTCGTGGCGTCAAAAAGACATTGTGTCTCGAGGGTCGCGTGTAAGAGGCTATGGAATGAGCTGCTTCGTTATTTGTTGAGACTTGACATCCACGAACAGATTGTATGAGGCGTCTACGGTTTTTGGTTACTGATATCCCAAAAGGGTTGCTGTTTTTGAATGGCAAACTTGTAAAGACAATGAAAGTGGGTCGCGACGGATATCCAGCACCATGTGCTACCGAGATGAGTGCTGTTTCCAATGCCTTGTTCAGAATGGTCCAAACTGCAGTAGCTTGGCAAAATGGCATGAAAAGGATCACACTAACTTTGGGTGTTGGTAGAGCCTTCTTTGCAGGATGAGGTCCACGTCACACTCCATAACCCTGGCTAGAGTCACTGCAAGATATGATGAATGACAGATGTCAGTAGTTTGTCCCAGGTTATGTTATCTGATCGAGCGTTTTGAGAAGGTTTGCGGCGGACTAGTTTCACATCACTTATTCACCCAATGTTTCTGTTTTTCACCTTAAGGAATTAAACGTTGCTGAGTAAGAGTTGTAGCTGTACGAAAGTAAAGCATCGATGTCAATAATGAGGTGGCCATCAATGGTGACAATGGTGATTTGGTACCTTAGGACTTCAAGGTGAAATCACGCCTTCAGCGGGAACGCAATATTAAAACGGAATATTAAAAATTGATTCAAGTTTAGTTCGAATGTGTAACCGACCTCCATGGGAAACTAATAGTTGAAAGATTCACATGAATTTCAATGGATGTAGTAAACAAAGCTCGATAACTATTAGCTACATGAATGGCAGTGCTCTGCAACGCAATAAATACACTTATGAGGTGAATAACCCAACGCCGGTCCTACCCTTTTGCCAGTCCTCGGTAAAGATCATTGCTTCTTGCAGGCTACAGTTGTCGTCAAAATATTGCACATTTGGGTAGAGTTACCGGTTAGGGTACACTCAACCAACTCTCAAAAGCATTCCATTTCTCACATACTACGTTTACGTCACTGGTTATAAGCTGTATCTCTAAAAGAAATTGTAGCCCAACGACCACCTAAAGTAGATCACGGAGACGGCTCGTATCTCCACTCGAAAATGACCACCTAAAGGGAATGGGTTTTCACAGAAGCCTGTTGTTGGCAGACTTCATAAAAACCTATCTAATCGACAGAAAACCAGGAGACAGACCAAAACACAAGAGTTTGTGGATTCAGAGAGGGCAGACTCAAACATACCAACATACGATAAACTAGGTATGAGTGGTGGTGTGAGCTTGTTTTTACAGGGTCATCCAGTTTGGCCGGTAAGTTTAGAAATCTAGAGTGATTCCAGCTAATCATTGTAGCTTTCTAACGCAATACCAAGATTCTGCTCGTGTCGTGGAGGCGTGGGCCTAATGGGTGCACCCTCTTATTTGCACAGGAGGGCGAATTGCGCGTTCGCTCTGGGCTTTTGATCGATAGCTTTAACAACTGTAATTGTGGGGTGAAGGTGTTTGTTTTCCCTCATTTGGGTTTTAGCCCGTTGCGGTCGTCGAGTACTCTGTAACCTATCTGTGCAGCGTCGTCTGGCCTCACACAATCGGTCCGATTGGTGTGTGATTATGAGGATGGCAGGCTAGGTTTATTTCCGTTTAGATTTTATACAACGTTATGTAGCTGATTCATCGGAAATAAGGGGACTGAAACTGGATACGTTAGCACCAGAGTCCCGCTTAGGGGTTACCATTAGTAGTGGTGAAATAAAAGTAAGCGGCATATCATGTTGAATACGATAGTAAACCGTGTTGAGCTGTCTTCCCATAGCTCACTTAGTATTACCGCCGCCCGCTTAAGTGGTACCCTCGATAAAGACCATTGGGTAAGAAACCTAACTCTGGCTACTTTCGTTTTACCACAATAAAAGATTTTTTGTCACCGAAAAGCGTTCTAACGGAAGACGTTGAAATAGAACTTATTCGCCTATGTACTCTATACAGCCTTTCGGACCCCGGCATTAACACCGATGCGCATACAAGAAGTTACCAAGTTTTTTATTTTCATATATCACAATATAATACTGGCAGCATAAGTAACATACCATAAGTTCTATAAGTACTATGTTGGGCGAGATGGTCCATGTGGTTAGAGCGCGAATTTGCTGACCGGAAGGTCCGTGGTTCGAACCTGACCTCTGCCTCTCGACTTTCCCTGTCTAGGCTTGGGCAGCCTGGCAGTATCGCAGCATTCGTGCAACCTTCGGGTGGCATAGCACTTAGGCACCGAAAGGGTGCGACAGCTGAATGATTTGATTGACTAGCAGCATAAGGCGGTGAATTTAAATCAACTCTTAACAAAGGGTTTAGAACAGCCAGCCAAATTTCAAAACAACCAATGCAGACCTGATGCACTCACTCGTTTTGGGCTTTTAGTTCCTCATTCTTGGACTCCAATTCAATCACGGTTTCTTTCAGTTCTTCTTTGCGCACAACCAGCCTTTCTAACTTTGCCTGTAAGAAGCAGGTAAGCATTGAAACGAGATAAGAAAAAAGCTACACTCTGAAAGAGGGGATTAGTTTTGAGGTTATTGGCATGCACAGCCGAACACAAGTGACTTTCCAGGGATAATAAAGCCGTATTCGCAAGCTCACAAAACAGAGTAAGGCTATCAGTAACGAAATAGCTGGACGGAACTGTTTTTTTCCAGCTCAAACTTCGTCTGTTGTTGTCCAAAGAAGTAAACATTCAGGTACTTGATTATAGCTTTATCCAAATAGCGTTCAAATGTGTAGCTTTTCACAGAACGATCTCGCCAATACAGAAGAGCGAGCTGGCTAGGATTCTAATCGAATGGTTTGTCAAGTCCAAGCACAATGACTAAAACGAGTGGATGTGCCTGCATAAATGGATGACATGGCTACAAATGCTGAGTAAGTAGTTTACGGTGCTTAAGTGGTCGCCAATACGGGTGCTGTGCGTCGCAGGTTCAGTTAGGCTAGCCGACAGTTGTCATGTAATTACGGACAAGGTTAACGGTTTTCGGATTTTAATTCGTAAAGATAAATCGCATAATGCTAAGAAAACAGAACAGCTGAACGGCCACCTTAAATTTTTGATCTCATCACTCTTGCCTGAACAATTCTACCTCCGTCTTGCTGCTGTTATTCCGATGCGTATTAACTGGACTGGACTCGACTCGAATTCAGGTCTTGCTTTACTCATCGATATGTCTCACAAGAGGGATTCAAGTTCATGATCATAAACACATTTGGATAATAAGAAACGAGTGACCGTATTACCACGTGTGACATTCATCCTTGAGTTTCATTGGTTGTTTTGTCGAAAGATCGGGTTCATCAGCAGAAGCAGTGAACAGATCGAGCGCTAGCTGCATCTGGGTGAGTCGCGAGGACAACTCAGGAGGGGAATTTTAGCGACTGGTCAACGCATGAGTAGAAGGCATTTAGTGGCACAGCATCGGTTAAGTTGTACCTAACACTGACACCATTCAACGTAGCTTGCAGAGGGCTTAAAGCAGCTAAGTAAACCCTACGGCCTGAGTAAGTTCTAATTGATCCTGATGGCCACTCTTCGACATTACAGAATGACATACGTTTCTAATTCAAAGTAGTTACATCACTGCGAGAAAGAGTGGTAGCTTCTATGCTGATGGAAAACGATGATCAGCCGCTTTATTCTACCAACGGTTATAGGGTGTCTGGACACTAAGGCAACAATGATTCAGAATTAAAGATAAACAAGCAGAGGTAAATTCACCAACTTTGCTGGAGATTAGTCATTCGGTACTAAGAACACTACCAGACTGAAGAAGCTGGCTTGGAGCTCATTTGACATCTTAGATTGTTCAAGGAAACTGCATCAATCTATTTATTCCAGATAAAAAGCGTTATTTATAAGGGCACTACGTAATCTTATTGCAAAAATATATGGGGTTCATTCACATGCAGTCTATTTTCTACCAGACAGCAACCGTACGCTTGACAGTTTAGTCACAATGGTGTTTTTTTAAATTTGATTCATTTGAGCCGAACCCTAATGCTGAAGTAGAACCAACATAAAACTGCGATAGCCACAGAAACAACTACTACCTCATTTTCCTCGGCCTCTTTCTTCTTTTGAAGTAATTGCTCCTCCAAGCGCTGCCGTATTGAAATCGCATCGTCTTGTACTCGTTTCAATTCACGCTGGCTTTCAGTGGTAGCCTTCAGTGAAAAGAAAGTAAGAAAAACTCACGGGGTCGCGAAAGCAGATTAACCAAAATAGTCAACAGACTGATAAGCAGTAACAATTGGCATCGATCAGGTTGGTGTCAACATAATTTGGACCCCCCGAGATTTCTATATCTACAAGAAACTCGGACTATGAAAAGCACTCCATAATACGCTGCATATAATTGTTTCAAATGCTTCCTTGCCTACTGATATTTAGTTAAGATGACCACATGAAAGTTTGCATATGAAATTCCATGGAAGGGGCAAAGATAAACAGGGACAAGGAACCTGAAACCACCAGTATATATGTCCTACAGTTGCCTATGTTCTACGTGTGCAGTTAAATGAGGGCGCTACGGTAAAACCGAGTCGCTGACGATGGTGAACTTGAAAAGCTAAATCTGGGGTACTTTCTTATTGGCAATTCTATAGGCTTCTTCAACACAAAATCTTGTCAGGACCGAAGCATTTCATCTGCCTCTCACAATTCACTCTTCATATGGTCTATTACACAGCCGTCAATGGAACGTAGAGGTCCCGTATGGAGAGTGAAACACACTTCCTGCCTTCTACATCATCAATATTTTTGCAACAATACACCAATGGGGAATACTGACAATTGACCACCATGTCCTCGTTTCACACTGAAATATCACTAACCTTCTTCAGATCCCGGATGGTTTCCGTTTGATCATCAATTATTTTGCTTTTGATTTTCACATTGTCTAGTTGTTGCTAGAAAATAGTAGCGGAAATAGCCATGTGTACTAAGGTGAAAAGGATGCTTTGGACAACTACAGACATTTAGATGCGCGAAAGGTTCTCCACAAGCACTTGCAAGAGACTAACGGAAAGGGAATATAGTAATGAGGAATAGTAATCAGATACTAAGGTACGAGTAAATATGATCAAGGAGGTACCGACAATATTCGCTCATTTTCTCAACTAGACGGCTATAAAGCGGAAAATGGAGTCTGCTGTGCTGGGTTTACCAAAAAGGAGAGATATCCGGGTTATTTAGGAGAATATCGCCACATTGTGTTCCACACACTTCACGATGCTCAAATGTGGCCAGAAACTATGGGATTGTATTGAACAGAGTGGGCTCATATCTCACCTAATTATTCACAGCCACGGATCCTGTGTAAAAAAAAAAAAAAATGCATATACTGTTCAAAATACTGATGATATACATCGTGCGGACAAAGATGTTCAAATTCTTTCATTCGAGCTCACAAGATATTTGACTAAGTATCATCGGCCGTGACAACACACCAGTACTATGTGCTGGTGTTTAACTACCATAAAATATTTGACTAGAATGTAAAGACAACGCTCATGAACTTCAAACGTTTGAAAACTCGCTGAATTCATTCGGATTTAAAACAATGCTACACAGCTTTGTTGATACAACACTTTAATGTACGTGAATGGATGCACCTAAAAACAAAAGGATTTGTTCCGTTACCTCGAGATTCTTCTTCAAACTAATAATTTCCTCAGCTTGCGCCTCAATCTTCGCCTCCAAACGACCTCGATCCTGAGCTAACGTTGAACCTGAAATAAACAAGTAAACAAACATTGGATAATATATCGAATGTTACAAGTACTATGAACATCGACAGCCTTTCAGGAGAACTTTGGTAGCCCAGGTTGCGTGGATTGTAGTTGAGTAGTTCGCCGAGCTTAGAAGTATTTGCAAAGCTTTCCTCAAGTGGCATATTTGGCACGTCACTGTGCAGCGAAAACGGAAGTTGGGTGAAGTTCCGTAGGCGACTTCCTATCCCCCAGTCAAGCAACAGGTTGCCCAACTCCATTGTTTACGAAAATTCCTAGCGCTGCAGCTGAAGCGGTCATTCAACACCGGTGTTTTATTGATAACGAAGGGGATGAGATGTTTCAGTAGGTGACCCGATATATCGTAGCCTGGATGTTGAAGATGAGTTTTACTGACGACCCACCACTAAGGATTCGGTCATCAAGAGGCGGATCAATCATCTGTCCCCGTAGGAGATGTACTTATTTCCAAACAATGGGCTTGGAATTCAGCCAGCATCTATAACAAATATCTCATGAGCCCCCGGGAAGTGCTAATCAAATCACCAGCTGCGCAAGAATGGCTTGAAAGAGCACCATCCTGCTTCACTGCCGTACAACCATGATTTATTTGAAAGCCTTATTGTGAAGAAAAGAATAAAAGAGGACGAGTAAAGGACTTAGTGCTAGCCTACCACAGTGAGTCTGAGATGATCAAATCTCCAAAAATACATTCAGGCAATCTGGATAAAAACTGACAACAAGAGCGCCGCTGACATCGGTTAGCAGCCATATCTTACAGCGTCTGCAACGAAGCGCAGTGGGGATCAGGTGATCCCCATCCTGGGTGGTGAGTCGCACTCACATCAATTTTTTTTGTAATCTCTGATATACCCCTGCCAAGGCAAAGGTCGACTACCTCTCTGTTTCCGGCACTCTGAATGGGGCGCAGAAAAGAGTACTCACTACGGCATACGCAAGACATGTCCCAGCCAGTGCAGCTTCTGGTGCCGGACACATTCTTCAATGTAAGTACCCATTGCACAACCGAAAACTCGGTTCCTAATTGCCTCGTTACTGATACGCCGACACCAACACACACAAGCTGAGGTTCTGGGATAACCGCTGTCAAATACCCGAAGACGTCTCAGTTCCACTGATCGAAGAGCCGAAGTCACACAGTCGTACAACAAAACGGCCTACACTGTAATCTGGAGATTCAGCGAGACACCACTTTGATGTCATAGGTGTCTCATAGTAGCTAACGCAACCTAAGCCTTGCAGATTCGTGCATTGAGATCATCCGTCACACTATAACCTCAACTAATACAACTTCCAAGACACGTGAAACGCTCTATACCTTCGAATGCACCCCGTGAATTGGAAGTCGGGTGTTCATTAGGGATGTCTAAGAGCAATACCTTACACTTTGTGGATGCAAAGTGCACACCAAAAGGCGTGGTGACTGTGGTCATTTCATTCAATAAGCCTGCGGCTTCACCTCTTCGAAGGCGAGAACGTTGTCGTCTGCATATTCCAGGTCGACAAACATTCCAGGTCTTCAACAGACAGAATACTAGGGTTTTGAAGACCTTCCAGCGTTCGTCTCATTATCTTGTCTATCACGAAGGTAAATAGTAATGGGGAGAGTGAGTCCCTGTAATATACACCCATTTGTGTACGAAAGCTTTTGGAGAGCTCTCCGTATACTCACATACGCCCAGAATCCTGAGAATATGAGGAACTATTCGTGCTTGCAAACTTCCGGAACATTACTTGCTGGATAAGTGTGCTAAAGAGAACGGGGCCGAATGCGCCTTGGAAACCCAGGAGTAGTAAAATGTGGGTCTTTTGTACGTACGGCGTTGTTCCAGCGCCTGACGAAAATTTGGTGAACACAACACATACCAGGCCGGAATCCTGTTTGCTACTATCGATTCACTGTTTCACTATCCACCATAAGGCAACGATGGATAAGCGACGGCACTAGCGCGTGCCCATATGCGTAATGATAATGTCTGTCCATGTGGTGACTAGTTAAGTTAATTGCAAAGCTCAGCGAACAGATAAACAGCCACCTGATCAACAACCAATAAACTGACGTACGCTACCAATCTTTCGCGCACCAGAAGTGTTCAGACCACCGGGTTGAGCATTCTTCATTATTCACTATGGTTGCTCCGCTCTGGTCCCCGATGGTTTCGCTTACAGCTGGTTTCCGGGTATCTGGATCAACTGAAATAACCTTCGGGCATTCCCAGCTTTCTAGACCCGTTCCATTTCCCTAGTCTTAAGAGTCCACCAGGCTCCACGGCCGGCGCGCACGCTCACTTCCACTTGGCGTCTGATATTTCTTTGGATCAAATTATTTGTGGACTGGAGGGGCCGTTTCTCCGAGCGGTCAGTAAATCCGTGCTCTATGAGTTAACTCGAGCTATTGCTCAATCTTGGTACTGACTATTTCAAATGCTTAAAAGAAAGAACTTTCACCATAATGTACTGAAATTACGGACCCCAACTAGGCTACTAAAATAAGCCCACACGTAGTCATGCGGATGTCACATTCTATGCTGTTATGTGAGTTGAAATATTATATTATTTGAATAAACTGCCTACGATGTATTAACAACCAAGAAAATTTCAGTCGGGGTTCATTTCAGCAAGTGAAGTCAATCTATACCAAAAAGCCTAGGAGCGCTGTACACCTGGTTCATCCTTATTTAGAATCACCAGCTGTGTCCACCTCAGGAATCTCAGGAGGGATCTGGACACCTCGGCTGGTAGTTGAGGATTAAACCGTTGGACGTAGTCGATTGAGCAGCCGTTCGATAAATTCTCACATTGTTGAGTAACCACTCATAGCCGAGTAGTCTTTGGCTATTAGCTGGAGGTGGGAAATCGGGTCCGAATCTCTTCGGGGATTTGTGATATGCGCATGCTGATGAATTCTAATAAGGGTGGAATAACCGCGAAATGTTTCTCGACTTTTCGACATGGACTGGTTCTACTTGTAGGATGAAATCCCGACCGAAATTTGCAAATTTCATGCTGTCAATGAAGTTAGGAATTCAAGTCATTTCACAAGTACGAACTCTACCGACGGTGGGACTGCTGAAAGTCATGGTGGATAAAAGAGATGTTGTGTAATCAGGATGCATTCTAAGACAGTATAACGAAACCAACTTTTTGACCTATCTGCACACGGTTTAGCATTAGGTTCAATATGGGAATTTCTAAACGGTCCACTCTAAGCCCATTTGACGAGCCTTCATAGGAGTCCTTCTATATCTAAACGTTTTGAAAACTGACCGCTAAGTTCCAAGCAGTGACGTCTCGATAAGTATAAGGTTCTCTACCTGAACTAACGGCTAACGAAATGACTAATGATTCCTTAGTAGTGATATCACCTGGTCAAGCCAACAGCCAGCTATGACCAGAATCACATTTTCCAGGGTTAGCACGGCATGGAAGAATCCACCTCTTAATCTTTTAAAGCCATTTCGATCGTGGACCAGCCAAATTTCCGTAAATCAGTTCGATTCACTAACCCAAAAAAGCCTGACAGAAGCGAAGAAACATACATGGGATTGTTTCTATCAACGGACTGAAAACTGCGAAGAACAGCTGGGCAGGTTCCCTCCAGCCGATTCGAATGGAAAGTGAACAGAGGTTTCTCATCGAATGCACACATGAGAGGTGAGATTCCGTTGTTTCCCACATTTCATACCACAAACCGTTCACAGATGCAGAAGCACTGCTGAGCAGTCAAACAAATCCAATGTAAGCCATAAAAGACGGGGACAGAACACAATACCGATTGTAACTCCACCCTAAAAAATAATACAGGAGTCATTCAGAAAGAAACAAGGCATTGGTCTTGTGACTGTCTTTTTCAAGGTACCGTGCTATTTTATCCCACAGACTGATCATTTACTTGGGGAAGCAAGTTCGTGAGTTTCACCCCCCAGGTGACCCACACAGCGCGACAGGTTCCGGAGTAGTGCCAATCATCCAACAACAAAATGTGGTGCGTTTCCTTAATCCAACGATCTACTTTGATAAGGACGATGCAATGGCCCTGTTTTTCAGCCAAAGTTGTTCTGTGTAAATTCGAAAGCCAACATTGATCAGTTCACACAAACAGTTGTGCTAGGTTCCATCTAACTTCTTCACAGTGAACAGGGTCAGTCAAAGCTATCCTCTGTCTACGCTTTCCAATTGCATTATGAGGATGTCAGTTGAACTGTTCTTACCCTTCTAATAACTCGTAGGGTGAAGATTCTTTCGCGTCATTCGTCGACATACGTTTGGTAGGTTTGTGATGATACATGAGAAACTAGTGCTGGAAGTTTGGCCGCATAGTTCGATACACGTTTCACAGGAGTGGGATGAATAAAGTTAAACTTCTGTTAGTTGTCTACCGTTGTCGTATATTGATGAGTCTAGATGACCAACTGAATAAGCTCCGGAGAACTGACAAGACGACATCATTTTCGGAAATAAACAACAAACAGCATTTAACTGGGAGGTTGGAAATTCTACTGTTCAACCAATTAGTTTGCAGTGATTTTTTTGCATCTTGGTAAAAACCAATACCTGCCAGGAAGTCCACAACACATAGTGTTGAAAACAGACAAACCTTGTTGGGCTAGTTCCTCGCTCCAGTTACGTCGCTCTGCCCTCAGTCCCATAACAAGCGACTCTTGGGCCGCCAATTCCGCCTTCAAATGTTTATTTTCCTAAAAAGATTTTGATAAGGATCAATAGGGACGAAAATATATCTTACGAGTCAACAAACGAGTAAATTCAAGATTAGACAGTGGTAACAAGGAGGGAATGAAAATACTTCAAAAGCCCAGAAACTGAAGCTTAAATGAGCACCGGCGGAGAACATTGCGGCAACTCCAATGAACAAAGCTTATTCACACAGAGGTTGTCCAATGTTTGCTGTTGTAAACAAGTACAAAAAATACTTTGAAAAAAAAAAACAGAATTTCGCCGCTATGAACATTTTCGAGAGCGAATTTCTTCGTTCCATGTTAATTAGCTCGAGCCAAAAGTACTACACAGAACACGTAATCTACAATCAGGGCTCGTTACTGAACGCACCACTAGTACAGAACACATGACTCAATGCTGTACTAGAAGGGAACTAGAAGAGTAGTGGAAGGCAGCAGCTTGCAATGACCCACAGAGTACGAACGATAAGTGAACATCGTCTAGTTTTTTAAAGGTGCAAACAATCTCATCAGAGCGGCACCCTCCTCTAGTGGCCCCTGCAAGCTAGTGCACCACTACCCCAGTTGCAGTCCCCATTATGCTGTGTTTTTCTCACTATCAGGCACCGTAGCAACGGTCACCACGTCACATGCATCAATTTTTTCAGTCAAAAAAGCGAAGCCAGGAGATTCCCAACCGTACTAACAACTTTGTGTTGCGACATACAATCCAGTAGGTGGGAAAGGCTGATGAGTTTGTAGACAGTCCGCATATAAGTGTGCATCGAGCATCTATAGAAAGGAACATGCGGGGACACGATAAGAGCAAATGCCATGGAACAACAAGTGCCACTCTCGCTATCTAACGTTGTTATCGGGAACTTTTAACCGAACATAAATGCCTTATTCCGACCGCTAGAGTAACTTCTTCAATTGGACAGTCATAATTTAGCTAGTCTAGAAATGGCTAAAATCATTCACACTCACCTTTCGAAGGTTTTCCAAGATTGAAAATCGGTTTTGAGCTTCCTGCAACTGTGTTTCAAGGGTTGAAATACGTTCCTGAAACCAGGAAAGGCATTTGAGAACAAGGACCATATTGACATAGGTTTCACACAATAGATCTCGGTAAAATCATTTTCACAATGAATAAAACTATAGGATTAAGACTGAGTGTGGTTTATTAAAAAGATCACCATTCCTCAGCTTCTGGGAATGAGTCACTTGAGCACAAACATACTGGAATAACAAGTGACGAGCTGCTAACAACATAGAACCTAAACTCGAAGGGTGCCCACAACGGTTTTTAACAACATTAAAGAGCACTCTGGCAATTTTTCGGTTTTAAGATCCGAGCGTTCTGGAAAGGGATACCTTCGCCCTACTTATGTAGGTTTGGTGATAAAATATTGCTCATTACCTAGTCCTCAAAGAGTTTTTCGCAGCTGCTCCTAAGTTACGGAGAAAAACAGGTGGTTCATTGGTAATTTGGTTCTGTTCTAACTGCCACCTAATATCACAGTAGCTCCCTGTGAAGGACAATTCAACTCACTCAACTAACCGAGTCTCATACATGTAGATATCCGAAATATTTGTGGTAGATTAGTGCTGGGTCCATTTCCTTCCCTGTTCTACACAAAAGGACATCCTTCGAATATTGCAGCATGGTTGAAAGGCACTGAAGCAGAGTTTTCAGCTTGTGTTGCTGTTACTGATGGGTGATGATGATCTTGGAACAAAGAACACTGTCCTACCAGTGCAAATAAGGGATGTTTTTGGTTTCATATGAAGCAATGAGCGTGGAGTAAGAGAAGTTGTGTGGGTAAATGACACTATATTTCTCAGTCAGCCACGTCAATACTATCCTGGAGAACATAGGGTTAGAAACATATTTTCAGCGGGAATCCTCTATTCATTACATGGAAAAAATATCTTCAGTGGGACTGGTAACTGAAATCAGTCCTAAGTACCCCATAAGAGAGTGTAAGACGGCGGCTAATAGAAGAGCCTTGAATGAAGTGAACGGGTGGTAATAAACAATATTTAGCAAATTTGGGACCACGATTCGGTTTTTGTTTCCCATAGATGCTTCGGAAGCTTGGTCCTGGCGCTTTTAAGTTGTGGCGTTTTTTGGACATTGGACTGTTCTGACTCTCTTCGCTTGAATCGAGGTGGATACGGATTCGCCATTCTTATCAAACCAATTATGCCTAAGTTTCCTATTCGGCCTTATTCTATTCACAATAGCTGCTTATGTGTGTATGCTTTCACACATTCTATTTGTGCGTTCATGGACTGGGGTATTGACTTTCAGGGAATATATATATATATATATATATATATATATACTAGGGGGAGATATCTTGGGGCGCAAATTTACTGACCAGAAGGTTTGTGGTTCGAACCCGACCCTTACCTCCCGACTTCCCCTGTATTGGCTTGGGCAACCTTGCAATATTCCACCCCTCATGCTTCCTTCGGGTGGCATGACAGCTAGGCACCAAAAGCATGTTGCACCTGAACAATTATATTTACTACATATACATATATATATATATATAATGATGAAAAGACCAAGAGCATTGTCTAGGTGCCCTTAAGTAACAGCTACATACATTACCGTTCAGCTGCTAGCGGACGAACGGTTTAGTGTTCAACTACTATCCGGAAGGCAGCGTGATAGAAGCCCTAAGTTTCGTGAAATGTGCACTGAAGATCATTCCCAATAAGAATGAAACGGCGATACAGTGCTTCTACGCTTTTCAGCAAAGGTTTACTACACGAAAAGGACGAGACCACAACTGAAAAAATGTATTTTGTTTGATAGTCTGTTTAGCTCATCGTTCCTATAAGCTCAAGTGTAACTATTCAACCAAACTGCTTTTCAGTTCAGGGGCTAATTGTCTCATACTTCGGATGAAACTGGTTGTCGGTTGTCTTCGGATTCAGAGTATCCGCACCATGGTGCATGAATCAAACGAAGAAAGCTTCCTTGAATATTTCTGCACTGAATTCTGGGGCACACTGAGTGCCGCACACTATGTGGAGGAATATCAGTGTGTTATTCATTACGAAGAATTCTGTTGAACCTCTAGTCCCATTAATTTCATTATATTTTCAAACGTTTCAAGCTACCGCATCAAGGACAAAAGCCGATAACTGATAGAAAATGGAACAAGTAGCACAAGATACACGGAAATGGAACACAAAAGACTGATTTGGACGCATTACCTAAAAGATACTTGTCACACGGGAGATTTTGGTCATGGATCATTTCTGTATACACTAACGTTCGCTGTACTGTCTAGTATGCCACATTCGGGAAAACTGCCGAATATAGTAACTATTTAAGGGCATCCTTCGAGATGACCGGGCTTGTTTGAATGCCGACAAAAATATCATTCATACTCCTGAAATGCGACCACCTGCCTAAGGCGATTGAAATAGAGGTCTTTTTTACGCGAAATGCGCGCCAGAGGTAGTGTAGAAAGTATAATCTTTTAGTAATTGGTTTAGGAGTCATTAACATGGGAAGTGAAATAAGCCGTGCTGTGAGACGGAAACGAAACATGACCTGACACATTCTGTCAATTTCTTGAGCAGATAACTACGTAAGTGAGGGCGGTAAACGGGAACTAGTGGAGCGGGAAAAATGGATCTATGTTTATCAGCAAAATCCCACATTGCTCTTCACATTTAAGATTAAGTTAGTTCAAAACAGGTTGAACGAAAAAGGACATCTCACCTTTTGATTACTCTGGACAATCAAATTAGACTTCTGTTGACTAACCGTCCTGGATTTCTGCTCCTTTATAGCCTAGAAAATGAGAGAATCAAACTACAACGTGTTCTGTAATGACGCAAAAAAAGGGAAATATTTTGGTGCTTTCTGTTTCATCACCTATGTAAGAAAACACATAATTTTGTTTGTGGCCAGAGGACTTATCATCCAAAAGGAGTGAAGTACTTGAACGTAGATGAGGAGTATGCGGCAACTCACTGTGGTTAGTTCCGAAATCAACTGCTGTGCTGTTCGCTCTCGTTGTTCCAAGTCCTTATTCCGTTGCTCCACATCGACCAGTTGTTGTTTAAGTATCCCCATGGCTTTGAACAGCTGATCGAAAATAGTTGTCAAAATGTTGTTAGTTCAAGCAAAATAAAGTGGGATAAAAATGATCACTGCTCTACGAAGTGCTCATGGAATGGACTAGATACTAAGCAAATGGACTGGAAATGTTGAATAAATGCATACATCACCGTAACGATCGGCTTCAATCCGTAACGCCACGCGAAATTCTTCCTCCAACGAGTGATAGCGAGCTTCGCTGGCTTCCAGCCTGAAGAAAAGTTGGGGATAGGCAATTACTTGAAGTGCAGTTGATTCTCGTTATAAAAGTATCGCTTGTTTTGGAAAGACGATACCAGTGAATGAGTGTGTCGGCATGACGAACTCGACTTTGCACTAAGTCATATCTTGAAAAACTGCCATATAACTGACCACACGAAATGGGGTGTGCATAGATTTATGTGAAATGTACAGGGGAAATAGTCAACACTAGCCAAGAATATTGAAAACCAAGACCACTCTCATTGAACCCAATGTCCTATTCTGGGAACAAAGCAAGATCAATCAACCAATCTGGAGTCCTAGTCTTGAAAGAAATATCACTATTTCACCTACTTGCTTTCGGTTTCTGTGCTTGATGCGGAACCTATAGGCTTTCGAATACCTTGTCCATCATCCGTTTTAAGGACAGTTTCTTCCGCCAATACACCTCACAACTTCAGTTACCGAATTGCCGTTAGCGATCTCTTCGTGTCATTAGGTAGGAAATACCATTTCGACCATACTGGCAACGACGAGACTGACTGGGGTTATCTGTCGTACGGACTGCGTTATATTTTACAATAGTTAAACCAACGATGGTTCCTTTAGCAGTATTGCTCAGTAGTAGCATTGCTTAGTAGACCCTCTAAAGCCCATTTATATAGATTCATGCAGATAAGACTACGCAAGAGAAAAAAGAGGACAGAATCCTTTAGGAGCATTCGAAGGAGTGGCACATGTCACCGTCGATAGTGACCACGCTCAGCAAGAACGTTTTTGTGTTAGGCAGTAAGACTGATATCTGATATCATTTGACATGTCCACTTATTTTGTCGTGCGCTGGACCACAGTCGTAATTATGCGCACGTGCCGTTTTGGTTGTTGATCAGGTGGGTGTTGATCTGCTCACCGAGTTTGGTAATTGACTTGGGGACGTTTCATCACCATACAAGGAAACAGCATCAGTACGCAATCGGGTGAGTGCTTTCTCTTTGCCTACGTGTGTTTGTGTAGCATTTGAACACTACCTGCTATCTTTTAACGTGACTGGCTATTTGAAGGACGGTGTTTTTCGTGAAGCAATTGGTCCGCGTTGTGATTTTTGTTGCGCTGAGGTCTACGTTTCCTTGAGTTGATTGGTCATCCGAACCCTTTCTATTTTTAGTAGTTTCTTCCATGGCTTGACTGGCCCTCTTCTCGATTTGCATTGCAACGTGGTCTGGTCTTCTCGAGATTGATTGGTTGGTCGCAGTGCCCACTGTGTCGGCTAGTGTCCCTACGTCCGCCGGTTAATTTGGTACTTTGGTCTATTGGTTGGGTGGCCGTTTGAATCGGGTTTTCTTGCTCCTCTTATGAAATCCTTGTCTGCGTACTTCCGCCGCTCAGAAATCTGCGGCTCTGACGTTCTCTTGCTGTTGGTGATTGGTAAATAGGATCAATTTCGATGTTTGTTGGTAGCTTCTTCAGTGGAGTACCACGCTTTCATAAGCTCACGTTCTTTCCTCATTCTTACTTGAGCCAGTATGCGAATACCGCTCTAATCCTGATCCTTGTACACGGAGATGAAGTAAAATTGATCGTGTCTTTTAGCGGCGAACTGGTGTTCATGTATTCTGGTGAAGGGCTTCCTTCCCATTTGTCCTATATACCATTTGTATACCATCAGGTCCGATCGCAGGGCTTAATGGAGATTACACTGGTAGTATTTTGTGGTGTCATGCAGACACCTTTAAGCGAGGAGATCTGTACAGCGAGTAGCTACTGTGAGGGTTGTCAGTGCTCTTAATTGTTATGACGTCTAACCATGTTCTTTCGTCGGGTGGACAGTAACAAGATACGCCTTGTGAACATAACCCGATGCGAAGAGCCATCAGACGCCAAGTGAAAGTGAGTTTGCGATCCGACCGTGAAGTATGGTGGACACAGAAAGCCAAAGAAATGGAAGAGGCCCAGAAAGCCGGTAATGCCCGGAGATTATTTCAGTTAATCCGTGCGACCGGTCCCCGGAAACCACCTGTGAGTGAAAGCATCAAGCATCAGAATGGAACGACCATCTCTAATAAGGAGGAACGCCTTGACCGGTGGGCTGAATACTTTGAACAACAAATGTCTTGCCCACCGGCCGACACTCATCTAAAGCCCACAGGTGAAGTAGAACCCTGGACGGTGAACGTGGAACCACCTACGGCCTCAGAGGTTTACGACTGCATATGTTCTCTCAAGCGCCACCGAGCTCCCGGTCCGGACGACCTTCCACCCGCACTGTTCAAAGACGGTGGTGAAGTCCTCA